TCTTAAACAGCTTCGGTCCAAACCACGATTAGCACTAATGCCCTCTGTGTTTGCGTTTGCTATTTGTGCTAGCTGGGGTGCACACAGTCAAAGAGATCTGCTGAAATAGATACGTTCTTCTCATGCAACGGCTGTAAGCACATTGGACCTTCAGTATGCATGTGTGTGTGCCACATGTGGCAGCGAATGAATTTGTGACCGCTTACTTGTCGCGTACTATAGCCTGCTCACATCTGAGTGCAGAGGTCTCGCTGTAATGAGGTCAAAGGTAGACCAACAGAATGAATTTAATTAAGAGACTAAGTCTACTTAATGGCTTCACACATGTCGTCTTAAATCCTCTGCAAAATAAGCATTCCCGTCTTTACGGGAATGCTCGGCTCCACAGAGGCATTCTCAGCTGCACTGGGAGAATTTTCTGAAAACTGATCGCCTGGAAAGGGAGTTGCTTCTTACTTAGCACAGTATTACTTGGGTATTTCGCAAATGGTATGGATGCATATGGTTGTCTTTGTTTCACTAAATTATTGTGTCACAAAACTTAATGGTGATATTGATACGGAGAAGTTGTGGTGCCATTACATTTTCCATCCAGGGAGATTTCTACAAAAGCTAAACCACATGCCATTTATCCCTGTAAAACTAGAGACGCTCTTAGTTTTCTCATGACTGCATGCATGGTTAAATATACTGCTCTGGTTTCAAATCCGCACGTAGAAGTTTGGGGACACATGCTGAAAGGTTAACCTCAGAGTTATCCCTCGTGTCTTAAACTCTGGTGCCTCAAGTGTGTTGAGGCACCCAGTCATTTCTTTACATTTTGCTAGGAAAATGAGAAATAGGTGCAGTGATTTATTGAAATGTATACATATACACTATAAAAATACAGAACAAAAGGCAAAAAAAAAAAGTTTGCACAATTCTCACAAGCTTGAAAGTCAGTGTTTGGCCACTTTTATTCTTCAACACAGTCTGAACTCTCTTAGGCAAGATTTCTTACTTCAGAAACAGTTCTCCAGGTTTCTTGAAGCTCTTCTTTGGATGTCGGCTGTCTTTTGTTCCGTTTTCTGTCAAAATGATCCGACACTGCTTCAATAATGTTGATGTTATGTTGCTATGGGGAGGCTAATCCATGACTGATAGTGTTCCACTGTGTGTTATTACTTCATGGACAGTGTTTTTGTGGACAAAGTCATATACTAGTCAGATTACATGGTGGATTTAACTCCGACAGTACTTTTCCGTGTTCCTAATTCCATCAATTTTGACAAGATCCCCAAAGCCAGCGACTGAAATACGGCCTCAAACCATGACAGAGCCTCCGTCATGTGTCACAGATGGCTGTAGATACTCATCATTGTACCTCTCTCCCAGCTTCCTCTGTGAAAAACTTAAAATCTGGTTTCATCACTCCATAAGACGTGCTGCCACTGATTTTCAGTTCGGTTCATGTGTAATTTTGCGTACCTCACTCGATGCATCTCTCATCCTCCGAATTCCCTATTTTTTAAGGACATGAGTTTTAGATACTGATAATCTGGTATGGATATATTGTAACTATATATAATAGCTCTTTGTAAATCACATTGGTGTTGCATTGGGGATTATTTTGTAGATTCAAGTAAAGAAACTGAAACAAATTGTATGTCTTTGTGACAGGCCGCTAGTAACAAAGCTAAGTTGTCTGCTGTGTGTAGACAGACACTGGTTGATCCCTTGAGTTAAACACTTTAGTCTGAAAATGATCAGGTACAAGGACCGGACTGAAAATGATTGAAGACGGGAAAAAGATTGTAATTGTGAAGTTGTGACTTGGACAGCACTTTGTCACTGATTAGGTCTTTGCGAGGCCTCTTGTTGTCACTCATTATCATCAAAAACCACTTTTCATCACTCGGCTTTCCAACCACAGCTGGCTACATTGAATATGACAGATCACTTGTCACTGTCGTCTCAGTTCACATGACAGTGCTAAAGTTAGCTCCTGTATTGGTGAATTGTGGGAAATGTGGTTTTATGCCACACATTGAGATGGATATATTCTGATTCCTTTCACCTCACATGGTCATTAAAACCAGAGTGCATTTTTGTATAAACAATACACAGAGACTCAGATGGGTAATAGTGAAGTACTTTCACATGTAGGCGAAAAGTGATAAGCTATCAGCCATATGTAGGTACTAGTTTTATAAACAGCATTCCCTAAACTGCTCCAGCTGCAGTTTAGTGGCTCTTTGGGTGTAAGTTAAAGTGCCCAACTTAATGTTTTAATGTGACTACATGTAAAACAAAGTCATAGCAATTAGCCTTTTTTTTTTTCTGTATTTCTAATATTGTTGTTCTGTTGTGTATAATTCTCTTGAGATAAAATTGCCCTGATGTATCACAACTGGAATAAATAAGAGAAAAAAGGAACAAAAAATATGTTCATTAATAATTTTTAATGAAAATAAATCTAGCTGTCAAGTCTTTGTTATTGTTTTGTTTTGTTTTTTGAAAGATTCAATACAAAATCAATACAGTTTAAATGTATTTCACCTCTCTAACTGCCACGCTTATCATTGAGCCATCCAGGCACACACCATTATAGAAACCACTTCATCCTACAGTGGTATCTGCTTTCTCACAGCGCCAAAAATAAGTGTGGGGGATTGTTATGTAGAGTTGTCACATGCATATATACACACACGCTTGCTTGCGCACATGCAACGCATAGCGATACTTTCCTGGCGGTTGTCGGCAAGGTGTGTCGGATATTTTTCAATTTTGCCGTTCATCATTCAAGCAGTCAGTGCGAAGATGGAGAGAATGTGGCATCTCGTGGATGATTAGGAATTGCCTCCTGCTTTTCTGTGACTTGAATTCGATTGCTTGGCTGTTTCTGTGCACTACAATTATTTACCATAAACGGCTGATCAGTCAGGAGCAGCTTCCTTGAACAACCACGAGTGTAGCGCGTCTGTTTACGTTTTAGAGTAACGGCTTAGACGCAAGCTCCAGCTCCTTATTTTTTTCCTCCAGTCTTCATTTTGTACAAGTAGATTTATTAGGGCAAATCCAGATGAGCTATGAAACTCTAATCCACTTGTAAAAGCATATTGTGAAAGTTTTTCAATGATTTTATAAATTTAGGTTTCAAGACTTTGCTGAAAATCTTTGTTTTGTGATCAATCAGATAAAATAGCAGCTATATCTAGATGATATGTTTGTCTATGGGGAGACATGGTTTAGGTTTCTTTAAACAAACATCATCTCTCAGATTCTCTGACTCATTTCTTGGAAACTTTTTTCTAGGTTTGTCTTCATAACTTAAATCCCCCTGCAAAATTACAATTTCCTTTGCAATCTAAGCCTTTTCTTAATGGTGATTTATGATCAAGCACACCCTACTTTTTGGCTGACAGATGTAAAACCTCAGCCTGTCTGACCATTGCAAAATGTTAATAATCTGACACTGTGTTCCAGGCCTAGAGACTGGATCTCTCCAATGATTCAGCAGCTAAATTGATCCCGACACCTACTGAGTGACTGATGGCATTCCCTGAACCGCAGTGCATCCCTTCATCAGCCAGACTATGCAAGCGTGCGTGTGTCTGTGTTTCTGTGTCAGCGTAGAGGTGATAATCAGCGGTGGCTGGAGAGACCTTCTCGTCCCTGTTGTTGTACTGCGTGGAGCTGTCCTGTGCAGGGACTCCCTTTTAGTCTATTTAACTCACCCCCCCCCTTATGCGGTCCCCTGAGCCCACCTCTTCTGTTATTCCCTCTTTAACTTCACTCAGTCATCCTCCTGTTTCTCTTTGAACAGGCGCTACACTGATTTCCCCATCTCTTGCCCCTGGAGAGAATACAGGAAGTGAAGGGAAATCTTGGAAGTGTATGTAGCATAGTTTATAGGGAAAGACAGTTGGATAGCCAAGGGTAAAGGGGGCTTTGCTGCCTTTGCTGCTGTCGATCAGGAGTAGCTGAGCAGCAGAGACCCCGCTGAAGTGCTCAGCCCCCAGTCTCTTCCTGCCTGTTGGTATTTCTGTGATCTGGGCGTTCAGTGAAGAGAAAGGAAAAAAAAAAGACAAAGAAAAGCAGGCTGGAGAAAGTTGCCCTATCAAGATCTGGTGTCTTTGGTCTGAGGTGGTTACTTCTGAGGGGGGTGACTGGAAGGGTGTAAAGGCTGGGGGTGGTGCTAGGGAGTTTGTTTCTCCATGCAGAACGTTTGGGATCGGACAAGCAGCGTTGACAGTGACAAAACAGGTCATATAATAATGCTGGGAAAAGGACAAAGCAGTGGATACCCCCCTGAGACAACAAGCAACACCTTACAGAGGTAAGAGCAAAATCTGTAAACCACAGAATCAGGATACAGTACAAACACATGCCAGGTGCTCACGTAGCTCTATGAAAAAAAAGTCCACAGCATGTTTTTGCAGTGGTATCATGAATATTCTGAAAAAAAAAAGTTGTGATGTTGGAAAAATGTCTGCATCTGTCCTTTAAGGTCGTCTTGCATGAAATCGAATTTGATAACCGCACAGCTGCTATCTATAATGTGTCTTAGTGAATATTACTACAGTACTGAGGATTTTATACTCACCATATATAAAAAAATAACAATATGCAACAATATAACAAAGTGCTTATTAAAATTTATTTAAAAAATATCTGCACTTTAAAAGAGGCTCTAAGGTTCTTTTTTGGGAAAAGCAATATAAAATTAAATAAAAGGGAAATTGTACAGTCAGCAGATTTATCTGAATATACTGAGCACTGAGCTAACACATTTCCCCCTTTATCTAAACATATCCAGGATTCATATTAAAAAGCAGGTATTTTCGCTCCTCATTCAAATCTGTGGTTGTCTTGTTCAAAATATTAGATGTGTTGAAAACAATCCCACTGTTTTTAACATCACACGTTTGCTGCTTCTCCTTAAATTGGAATAAATTATATTTTGTAAACTACTTAACTTTTTAAAACCAAAACAATTAATTTAGGAACATTAGCTGTTTTCAACATGACCACTAAATTCAGTTGATAAACATATCCATTAAATTTGGAAAATTTGATGTAATTTGTAAGCCAAACAATGTGCGGTGAAGTCACTGAAAGGTCTTATATTAAATTTGTCAACAACACAGTATCACTGAGCTCAAGCTCTGCAACCCTACAATAAAACTGTAAAAATGTATGCGATCATTTCTGTAACAAATCTTGATTATATATTGATTATATTTTGTATTTGTTGATGATTTTTCTTTGAAGTACTGTACAGTGTGTGAGGAGACAGCTGTGCAATTTGTCTTTAAATATTAATATGAATTGGTGGAAACGTTTATTGGGCAGAGAGTTTCTACTGAATGAATACATGAACATTGTTGTGTGTGATAGTGTCAGTAGCTACATTTTATTTGGTTAATTGCAAATCAGCAAAGTAAAAGATTTCGATAGCACTTTAATGGACTTCCATTCTGCTGTTTATTTAAGATCGTCATTCAGTTAAGGATTTGTTGCCCTGCTTGCTGCCATCATTAAAACAAACAAAAACCCAACATGTAGTCAGACTGTGCAGCCTTAGACTTTTTCTCGAGACTTATTAGTTACCTAAAAGTATTGTTGGATAACCTGGAGAATCAAGAGCTGAGATAAATTATTAAAGGAAAAGTGTTTAAGGGAAATAAAGTCTAAATAGTCCAAAAACCAGAAACAAGCAACGGTAGGATTGTACAAATGTTCAAATTTAATAGATCATTACGCGCTTTCTTAAACATCGACCCGGGTGTTTTCAGTTACACTGTGACACGCTGAGGTCTTTTTGTCTTAAGTGCTATAAACATTTTCTTAATTCTCAAATATTCAGCCCAGGCATGGATATCATTCATTTAAGCATGTCAGAAAAAATCTTTCAGATATAATAATCTGAATTTTGTTAGTTATGAGGAATTTGTACATTTGTACATAAGGCAAACTTTTAGCTCAGATATTTTTTCAGACTAAAATAAAATACACGTTTTTTTTACTTAAAGCTCTGGAAATGTCTGAACATGTAAACTAATTATTATTATTATTATTTTTTTGTTTAATGGAGCAAATAGATTTTCCAGCGCTTAGTGAGTCTATGTGCAGGGTTTTCTCGTTTGCAGTGACTGTTACACATTCGGACCGCTGTGCAAACCTCTGTAAAACAAAAAAAGTTAGAGCTCAACAAAAACAAAAAAAATTCTGCCAGACTTTCTGTGTTTCTGCAACAAATTTAAGCTCATCACACGAATAAGGCTGTGCAAAAAATAAACATGAAAAAAGCAACAATAGGAATGTACAATTATGTACTAAGATCATTATAATGCAGCAAATAAATATGTGCAGTAAGAAAAAGTATCGTCTCTTTGGGTAGTAGACTGTAACAAGATTGGTCAGACTTTTTGTTGTTGTTGTTAAAAGCTATCACCCCTTTAAGAAAAGAGCCATTTTAGCTGCTTTCTTAAACACCTACCAGGGTCTTTTCAGTTCTAATGTGACAGATTATCCCAGATATAAGACAGATATAAGGAATTAGTTCCATCAGGAAGCTTTTTCTTTTTCATATCACCACAGGCTACAAAAAAAAAGGATTTTCCAGAGCCTAACATGTCCACGTATGCAGTTTTCTGACTTGCCGTGAATGTATACGGACCACTGTGCAAACATCTGCACAATTAATAAGGAAACTGTAAAGTTGTAACATGTCGTTACAAAAACATTCCGCCAGAATTTAGGACAGGACCGAAGGATCCGGGTGACCAGACTGCATGGTAGTTTTGTGTGTTTGTGGTGGTTTAGTGGTGAGTAGCCTGTGACGGATTGTCCTGTAACAGATCAGTTGAGCATGCTTGACATGCTTTGTCACACCATCTATGCATTAGCATTCATACCTTCCCTTATTTTGCCATTTCACTTTCCTCATCTTATGACTCTTTCCCACCTGCCACGGCTCTATATCACTGTGACAGCGCGTCACAGAGGGGAAAGTTAAGTGTCTGAGCAAATTTTACCTTGTACCACAGACCGTGCGGCTCCGCATCGGAAGTTGATATGTGAAAATGCAGCAGGAAAGGTAAAAGCTGGTGTTCTTCCATCGATGTGCTCATACTTTTCTTCAGTGCTGTGAAAGCCACATTTCAAGACAAAACTCAAAGGCATTACATGTTGTAATACGTTACGGTCTAAAACTCAGCTTTGTAAAGAACAACTTTGTCTTTAACGAAGTAGTGAATATATTGCATTTGATTTTTGGGTTAGTTGTAAAAACATTTGCGTTTGGGAGTATCCATGGATTTATAAATAAAGCTATAATCATGTACTTATATTTATAAAATATTTATTTGTTTGATCACTGTAAATCAAAACAGCAATGATATAGTTTATTTTATGCTCCTCTTCTATTTAACGTTACATCAGTACATAGTTAAGCTCATAGTAGTTAGCTTTCTTATCAGGACAGAGAATGTTCTGCATTGATAAACATGTACAATTATAATATTTATGTGTTTTATTTTATTCGTCGACTAATCTGTGATCTTTTTTTGCCTGTCTAAATGTCTGTGCTCTCAAAACTTTTAATGTAATAAATAGCTTTCAGTGGAGGCAGTGTAAGTGTAAGAGGGGAGCCAATTGAGTTGAAGGACCATTTTGCCACGTGTAACCACGCTCGAGCCTTAGGGAAAGTATATAGCCACAGCTGTCGAAAGCAAAATATTGAAAATAACTATGTTGTGGTTCAGGGAAACAGAAGCATCCTCTAAAAATCCTCTGGAGATCTAGTTTTTAAAAATGTGAAAATGAAGTTTCACGGATATTTACTCTTTCGCGCTGTCCACCCCTGGTGACGTGTTGTTAACATCCTTTTTTTGTTGTTTAAATCTCATAGATTTTAAGCCATTAAACACAGATGTCTGAAAATTTACAACAATAGAAAACTATTGATGTGTTTTATCAAAGCAAATTCACATCCTTTAGTTTGCTGCCAAGTGTGTCATGTTTAAAAGCGCTCTTTGCACCGAGTCGTCAACTTGAAGTTTCAATCATCCCTGCAATCCCCTGCAAGGTCATTAACGGGAGCTAATTTAGACTTTCGCACACTTTAAATGGATCGGGCCAAATGGCCGTCTGGACAGAGAAGTGTCGAGTGATTGGTGTGGTCGCTTTACAGATCCCTTTGAAACCCGTGATGTTGGTTGGCACAAGGCCGAGCAAATAAAAAATACAGAGTAGTTTTTTTTATGTTTTGAAATAACATTTGATATTAAAATACAGTCATCACTGTCCCCTCCAATAGATCTTGTCTCTCCTTAAGAAGACAGAAAAGTTGACCAAACAGATTAATTACGCTCGTCCTTCACTTTTTACCAGGAAGATTTGTCCTTTCTGTTGCTTACAGAAAATCTTAATTTCTAGTGTCACCTATTTGTGTCGCGGGACCATCTACCTCCCCCGCCAACACCTCAAGCATGTGTTCACTGCCTTGTTGACACGTGGCAACAACTGTGGCTAATCTTGATGTTAAATGGCTGACAGTCTTCGTAGGTACAACGGCCGTGCTGGTGTCCACTTTCAGCCAAGTGTAGGTGCATCCTGTAATTGGATCATTAAATTAGGATGAGGATGTTACCACAAAATGCACTATTAATATCAGCCCAAGGCACAACAAAGAAGTCTCATTCTCTATAACTGTAACATAGCCTTTGTGACTTGTACACAGAGATCAGTGTCTCTAATGCAGAGTAATAAAGCATAACAGTAAAAACAAACACGTAACAGTTTATTTGGCTGGGCTTTACCTAATTTAAATGAATTTTAAGCTTGAGTACACCTTTTCTAAAGCTCTGCAATATTTCACTTAATTCAGCACACATTGTCTTACAGCACAAGGCCATTGCCAAAACTATTAAATGCATATTATTCAAGCTAACAGTCTGTGAAAAGGCCTTAGAAAAACATTGTTACAAGCAGGATTTGTGACATGCCACAATGGTGAAAGAAAGTTTAGGTGGTGGCAGACTCCAGCAGTATGCTGTAGCTTTAATGGCTGAACCAAAGGCTAAATAAAAGACTCACAGAGCAAAAATCCAAAAATTCAGACAAGGAAGATTTACAGGAAATTTCAAAACAAGTCACAAGAAAATACTGGAAATTGCTGAGATAGTCTGACAGGAAACAGATGGCAGCATGGCTGTGTAAAGAGTAATTAAGTCAAGGGAAACAGGTGTTGTGGGCAAACAGAAGCCAAAGGAACAAGTATAATAAACTGGTACAAAGTTTCAAAATAAAACAGGAAATGATCATACGGAGTCTGTGCTGGTTGTGACAGTAAATTCATGTCTGTAGTTCTTCTCCTGCAGCACATGGGGTTATGTCCTGGTGGGAAAGGGTTTATAGGCGTTGAGTTGGTAGACTTAGCAAGGCTAACTATTTGGAACAATGGGAGTGGTCAGAGTTAAAGGGGTTTAAATGTCTTTACAAATGGTATCCACGTTAAAAGACAGCAATGATAAAAGAGCATTGTCAAATATCTGCATCTGTATACATTTACCAATGAGATTTGCACGCAACTTAGACGGGCTTGAGAGGGATACACCACTTAATCCCGAAATCATCACAGTTTCAGTTTAGTTCTGGTGTCTCTATAAATGAAGCGGTAACATGACGCCGATACTGTGATGGTCTTCTTAGCTGATGCAGAAAAAAAATCACAGACGCAGCTCGAACAATATTAATAAAATGAGAGGCGGTAATTGTTTGTGACGTTTGATTGCAGTTGCTTGGATTCATCAGTAACACAGTATCAGCTGCACATTACTGAGAATCACACAGACTTTTACTCTTCCAATGGATGGACTGTAATTCTAGCACCATGAGCACAAAACTGAGAAAGATTAGCAGAATCCCCCAGAGAGACAGTCATACTGTTAGGATGGTTACAGTTTGTTCAGAGCTTAAAGTATCCAGTAGCTGTTTGAGGTTTTTACTTTTTTTTTTTTTTTTTTTGTGACTATTTCTTCTTGAAAATCATTTAGTTACAGTTACATAGCATAGCATGAACATTTTGAGCAGTTGATCCTCGCTCTAATTACAAGAGGCAATCAGTCGTCTTTGGGATCAGCTCTTCATCACTACCTTTCCAGCTCTTAATGCTTAAATATATGAGCTGGCAGAGTTTAAAGGTCTCGATGTGAACACAATCTAAATTTAAAGGGTTGTTCATTTGAAACGGATGAAGTGTACTTCCCAGCGGGGGCTGCAACATTCTTTTTTTCGGATCAATTCTTCAACGTGTTTGTAAGATTTGCTCCGTGCATGTGAACAGTGACTGCTTTTATATGTTTGTGATGGTGCCTTTGTTGGGCCTGGGATAATATTTTACTATCCTAATATAAATAAGCCTTTGTCCATTTCCAAAAAACAAAAATGGGAAGATTATGTGAAAAGTTTAGTGAGGACACATTCTCGTCATGATCCACTGGCAGCTCATCAAACACTAAACTGGGCACTTTTTATTTAACGCTGACTATATGGCTTGTTTTCCATCTTTATGAGTCCTTGCATAATCACTGTTATTAAATAAACGATGCATTTTTTTTTATCAAACCATCTGCTGCTGGACTAGACATTCCTCCTTGTTATAACAAATTATGTTGGGATAACAGCTCTGCTGCTCTTCTGCAGATGTGGGGGTTGCATCATCAAAGTATTGAATACATTTTTTGTATCTTGTGTCCGTGAGAGTAATCAAATGACTTTAGTTTTTCATAATTTTGTATTTTGTTGTTCAGGTAGCGCGTAGGTAGTGTGCTGCATGTAAGCTTGGGTACGTGGGCCCTTGAATTGAGCATAATTAAACCCCACATTGGATTCAATGAGTCATAAATGAGTCAGATACTGTTTTAAGGTCTTGTCAATACTGCTGCTGCTATGCTATTTTCTTCTGACAAGGCTAACGCGAGTAGGAGGACTCTGCTGCTTGTTGTCAATCAGTCGTTTAGCGGTATTTGTTCAAGATATAGTAAAGTGAGGGAAGAGGGAGGATTAAAGGCTAATGCCACAAGCATAGTTCATTTTTTTGACACTCTATGTAGTGTATAAAAACTCGACTGACAAATTTGCTGCTATCCAAAACCAGCAGTCAGAAAGTTTAATACTGAATGTGAAAGTTTTTCACAAAGTTCGACGATTTTACTATTAATGCCGAGCACAATATTGATTTGTTTTCAACTTTTCTCACATGTAGGGCCTTGGCGGATAAAGAAGTCCCTGTCAAGTTAGCAGAGAGCTTTTCGGTTTGCAGAGGCATGCATGATTGATGCTTACAGTAACCTGTTTTGCAGGTGGCAAAATTAATATTTTGGCTTTAGTAGATAAAATTATATGTCAGTTAAAATGAACATTTACAGGATTTGTCAGCCAGTTATAGCACTGTTCAGCTGCAGTAAAAAACTTCACTACAAAATATTCTAAATGTCTAAAATCTTGAGAATTACAATGAATAAGTTTGTCTTTCTCAGCCTTTAAAGCTGTAGTTTAACCTGGGAGTAAGCTATTTTTCAAAACAGGAAAGGTCTGAATAGACTGGCTCTTCTGATTGTCCTAATTAATATAAATAATGTCACCCTGCAGTGCAGCTACTGTATGTCAGACTTCAGTGCAAGGTCACACATTGCACACACACAGTTAGAGGAAGCAGCTCAGTTCCGAATTGGGAGAATGTACTGAATGCATGTTGCCCTACAGGTTTAACAGAAGGAGAGCACGGGTGTTTAAGTGACACATAAACCTACACAGTATCACACAGCCACTCTGCTTTGCTCTGTTAGGCCGGCATCAACAGCTGAGGCCAGTGGAGATTGTAGCACGTGTGCTCACCCCAAAGGCATCTTCCTTTCATCCACATAGTGAGCAGGCCAGAATCCAGGAAATCAAATTCTCTGTATACGTGTCATGCACAGGTGGAGCTCGCACACACATACACAGGCAATACCTGCAGATAAGAACTTTATTTGTTGATTTATCTTTGTTCTATATGAGGACAGTTTTTTTTTTAAATGTTATGTCACATGTGTA